CACGGACCTCTTGCATGCGAGGCTGATGTTCTAACCATTATGCCATCGCTGCTTGAGAAACGTCTTGGCCGCTACAAAACGCCAGAGCACCATACTGCACCGAAATAGCTGCATGAGTAGCTTCTTGTTGCTCGGCTGGCAGCTCTGAAATGCGCCTTCTTGATGCGGCCCCTTCGGTGGACTGTGGTGGTGCTGGTTCTGAGTGAGGCTGCTGACGCTGTGCAGTCCTAGTGATGAGAAGATGCTGCGGCGGTGCCAACACGGATCCAGCTAATGGCGAAGGGCTTGCTGCAGCATGCCGATGTTGCGCACTCTTGTCGAGGCTAACACGGGCTGAAATGAAAGCCGCTACCGTAGGTGGCCGGTTGGCTGCTAGGGCAGCGAGGGTGTGTTGTGCCGTACACCATGTAGCAGATAGTCAATCTTTTGTGCATCAGAGAGGTTAATAGGGTAGCGCTCGAGGATCCTCAACTTGGCAAAGGCATACTGGTACAAGCTTTCGGATGGGGCCTGAGCTATCCTCATGGCTCATGGCTTGCTCTTGCAACTCGATGAGGGACCATTCAGTACATAACGTGCTCTTCAGGGCGGCACTTCATGTGGCCCAGGTGCTGTACTGGTTGCCAAACGCGAGATACCAGTCTCGTTCTGTGCCTTTGAGCTTGCTAGCCGCGATAAGACGCGTGCTGGCATCGTCCCAGGATGTGAACTGCTGTGCGACGATCGTCGAGCCATATGTTGACACTGTGGCTGGGAAAACTGGCAAATTGTGGGATCGTTGATGAGACGTCGGGCCGTGTCGTCTCCGTTGATGCAGGGCAAGGTAGCTGCTGGAACAGCAAGGCGAGGCTTTGTAGAGTGGCTGGGTTCAGCGTCAAAGGCGTGGTAGTGTTCAAGGCAGATGCATTCGTTTCATTTGAGGGTGTGGCTTCACGCTGCTTCTGGATGTCTACTTGCAAACGCTGAAAATGTTCTTTCGAACCTGTGGTGTCCAACTGTCGCCGAGGCAAGACATTGTGACCAGGTTGAGGTAATGCCACACAATTCCCGGCATGACTTTCCGCAGGGCTGGCTACACAAGGTTTACACACAACACACTGTTGCTCCATGAGTTCACCGGCAAGCGCATCAGGCGAGCACATGGAAGCGAGTGCACGGCGAGACATGTTCAGGCGGTGACAATTTTACAAAGAAAGGAGGGGCGGACTGTCTGTAGCAAGGTAGAGTTAGGCTTGCTTACCAATACGTAGCTGCGTGGCTGCGGTTGCACAGAGGCTCGAGCGTCGACTGCGCCAGATGTAAGGGCTGAGCGTAAGGGCCGGGTGTGAAGGGGAGGGCTTCAGATAACAAAAGATTTATTGAAAACATAGGGGCATGCGGAGTAAAATGTTTTGAGGCGGCCATCAGACGCAGCAGCGGACAGGTGGGTTTTGGGACGTTAAACCCCACATATCAATCAAATCAGCAGCGGACAGGTGAACGAGAGTCCCGCCTTCACTTGGGCTTGGCGTTGCATCGTCGTATATGTTACGTAGAGGACGCTAGTGATGAACTGGACAGCTGTGGGTGCTCACACTAGTTGCTATACTCGCGGTAATGTTGATTCTATCTCTCTGATGGCTGCAGTCAGTGTTAGCTGTTGCCATCCTCTGAGAAACTTGCACATTTTAATACCTTGCTCACATCTTTGACAGCCAAAAAAGTGGTTCAGCACAAGCAGCAGAATTTCAGAAAAAAAGAAAAAAGAATAGAAATGGAGGCCGCATGGTATAAAGATTTTATAAAAGTAGCTACAGGCAAACTCCGCTACAACGAACTCCACTACAAGGAAAATCCCGCTTCAACGAAGGTTTTTCGATTCCCCGCCTGCACCCTCTAGGCCCCAATGTATTAAAGCTCCCTCCACAACGAACCACTTTTTTATTGTTCTCCCAGGTCAACAAAATTTTCCCGGGACACAAGTCGCTCGATCTGACTCGTACTGAACCGCTCCAACTAAGTTTAATAAGGTCTAACCATATAAATTATATAGTAGCAACATTTTTCATTGTAAAAAAAGGCACGCAAAAATGGAACATATGACAGTGGTTGTCCTGTGCGTTTGTTCACTTCGTTCCCAGAGTTGTTTCTAACGGAGAAATCCTATCAGCTGACTAGCATTGAGATTCTACACTAAACATTCTCGTTTTCTGACAGCTAAAATGGTCGCAAATGCACCAATGTCGCATGTAATCCGCCGTATGCTGCAAAGCCAGGGGTATCCACCATGGTCATGAGGGACGCCATCATTGGTGCTTGATGACGATGCCAACAATGCTGCACAACATTCTCTGACAGCCAGCGGGCTTGCCTGACCGAAGCCTACCGAATTCCTATGTTGGATACTTTTGGCTGCTGGCTTATCCATCTTTTTGTGTGCCATGGCCTATGCCTTCTTTTACACCTGTTTAGCAGGTGAGCACCAAGTCGACCAAGTGAACCCAGCCGCGTTAGTCCTCGTCCAGTTAGCTCACTGGTCTTGCACGCTTTGCTTTGTCAGCTACGACCCGCGCTTTTTAGGGGCGAAGCTCCTTATGGTGTGAGTCTGTCCATCCTTCGTTGTTGTCGTACGTAGCCGCTGGGATGCAAGATGGGAGATGGCGGTACTTGGAGTGTTCACTAGATGGGCGCACGGACGGACAGACAGTGTAGCAGACGGATGGACGGACGTGCGGAGCGTGTATGTGCCACAGGGAATGCGAGATGGTGGTACTTGGAGTATTCACTCGATGAATGCATGGACGAATGGACAGATAGACTAGAAGATGTATGGACGCATGGATGGCTGCGCGGACGGACGGAAGCAGGGACGGGCTGACGGACGCTTTGCCCCACTCATCATCATTCATTCCGTGGATATGCTGCAATTTTTTTTTGCTCGATCTCGTCTATGGTTGCCAGGGCCGATGGCGGCACCACAGAGCAAGAAACGGAAGTTTCTTTTGCTCGAGCAAAAGGTGGAAATTATCGCCGCGGCAGCAGCCGTAAGAAAAAAAAAGGACTCATCACGCAGCAGCCGGAAGGAAGAAAAGGACTCATCGCGAAAGAGTACGGGATCTCGCCAAGCTCGCTGTCGACGATACTTAAGTCCGAAGCGAGTATTTAAAAGGCGTTAGCGTCTGGTACATCTGCTCAAGGCAAGAAGATAACCCAGCCAGCCCACGAAGAGCTTGACAAGGCAGTGTATGCTTGGTTTTGTGAAATGAGGGCTGAAAACGTATTAATCAGCGGCAGTATGATTGAGCAGAAGGCCCTGAACTACACCTGCATTTTAGGCATCACTGAGAACTTCAAGGCAAGTGCCAGATGAATAAACCGCGTCAAAGAGCGCCGTGAAATCGTTGGAAAAGTGCTGTGTAGAGAGTCCGCTTCGGCAGGCTCTGACGTCGTCGTGGACCGTGACGAATGCTGCCAGCATCATAGAGAAGTACTCTGCCTCCGATATAAACAATGCAGACGAGACTGGGCTTCTTAATGAAATGCTGCCAGCAAAGGCGCTCGGCTTGAAAAGAAAACAGTGCAACGGAGGTAAGCACAACAAAAAGCGAGTCACCGTGTTACTTTGTGCAAATATGGACGGGTCCGACAAGTGGCCCCTTCTCATCATCGGCAAGAGTGCCAAGCCGTGGTGCTTTAAGGGCACAAAAAACTTGCCAGTGAAATACGTCGTGAACAGCCATTCGTGGATGATGTGGGTCATTTTTGCTGACTGCCTTGTCTCTTTTGACAATGAGATGAAAAGGCAAGACTGTCATGTTTGCTTGCTGCTGGACAATTGTTCAGCGCATCGCCCGGACAGCAACATCAAGCTGACGAATATTTAGCTGAAGTTTTTCTGCCCAACTGCACTTTGCTGATCCAGCCTTTGGATCAAGGTGTGATCAACAGCGTGAAGCACCTATATCGGTCAAGACTCATTCAGAGCGAATCCTGCTGAACACAGAGCATGGCCGCGACACCAAATGAACTTGTACATGGTTGTACAAATGTTGGCCGCCGCATGGATGTCGACGCGGGGCGAAGTTTTCAAGAACTGCTTCGCTCACGCTGCATTTCGACTCGAAGAGATGTGCAGTACAAGTGACGATGTACAAGATGCCGACGACATTAGACCGGGCCAAGACGTGACAACGGCCACAGCATGGGCAGCTCTCGAGGAAGCCGGCAATGTTCCTGAGAATGTAGCATTAAGCGACTACGTAACTGCTGATGCGGACGTGATCATCTACAAGGAGCTCAGTGATGCCGAAATTCTCAAAAGTGCTCGCGCCGCCGTTGCCGCCGATTCATCCGGGGACGAAGAAGTCGACCATGGTGTTCCGACGGTCTCAACGTCACTGACTGCATCGCAGGTCATGGACTGCTTGGACATTTTAGGTAGTTTTCTTCACGAGGTAGTTTTCTTCACGTTACAGATATTGTCGTTATATTAAACGTCAATATAACGACAATATCTGTAATGACAATAACCATGACAATATCGCCATGCAGCTCCTCGCTGACCGTGAGCAGCGCATTGTCCCGTTGCTCGTTCAAAAGCTCACAGTAAAAAATAAGTTATTTTTTTTTTTCAAATTTTGGAAATGGAATTTTCCCTGAGTGTCGTGCATATTTTTTTCTTTGTTTACTGCTTTTTCCGCGACAACGAAATTCTCGCTACAAGGAAATTTTTTGCGATCCCCGTGAATTTTGTTGTAGCAGAGTTTGACTGCAATAGGATCATATCATTTGACCTTTTACATCATCCTGTGGTGTTGTGGATATAATTTTATGTCAGGCTAGCCCAGAGGATAAGCCATTTAGAGCAAAACTTCACAGATTCTGGGGAATCTCACTTGCTACAATGGACGGTGTCAAACGTTTTTAAAGTGAGTTTGCCCTGGTTAACAGTGGCTTTAGACATGCCTTCACAGTTGGATTGAAGAACCTGGTTTTGTTCTTTTCCTTTCTCTCCTCTGCAGGTTGTATGGCTTCAAGATTCATCCTCTGGCCTACCAACTGCAGCAGCAGGTAGCAGCCAACTTTAAGGCACCGATTCGTGGCATGAACTATGGAAATGGCAAACGTTGAAGTTTGAAACTACTGGATTCCCTGCAACGCTCACCTCATGATGCTTTTGCCACTCCAGCATCACTGCTTTCTTCGTCTTGTTCTCAAAATCTTTTATCTGCAGCACCTCTTCATTGTTCCCCTTAGTTCGTTAGATGTATTCTTGTCTTGAATTTGTCTGTGTGTGGCTCTTTTGTTTGGTATTCAGTTTTTTTTTGTGTGTGTGTGTCTTAGCTCACTTTCTGCATCATGCGAGAGTGAATTAAAAGCAGTTGTATGTGTGGCACTTTGATGTTTTGACAGCCAAACTAAGAAGCTCTCTCCCTTGTTTTAAATTCATTGAAATCAAGTTTGATTATGTCATACTTCTTGGTATTTTCAAGCTCTGATGGTAATCAGTAGCTTTATATCTACATCTGTCCTTTTGATGGTTTATCACTTGGGTCCTAAAAACTGTTACTTTTATTTGAACAGGTCTCACGTAAACTGTTGTTTTTCTTATGTTTCTGTCTGTTAACACTGCTTCTATGCTAGGTGTCACTGATGTAATAATACACAGTACTAGGCTGGGGTGTTAGCCATCTTCTTTATTTCTAACCTCTTCTTCCTCCTTGTCTCCCTCTAACCCTGCCTCACGTCCACGTACACTCCCCCTCTTTGAAGACTCATCCCTCCTGGGGTGATACATAAAAACGTTTCCAATGGTCGCAAACTCCAGCACGCCATCATCGTTGGTGTAACCGACCCTTTTGAGAACGCCATGCTGCACTGCGATCTGCACCACGCGATAAGGTCCCATGTACACCTGCTTTGTGCCGGGAAGACCTTTTCTGACAAGCACCAGATCGTTCAGGTGTATCTGAGGTATCCGCGTGTTGTGGCGACGGTCAAAGTTCCTCTTCATGCTTTCCCGGTATTGCTGGTAGGCTTCCGAAGTTTTTCGTTTTTCGCACAATTGTAGGCGGTCTGCAATGCAAAGTTCTTGATCAGCAGGAAGCACTGGTACCTTTCCGAAAGCTGCAAAATATGGACTACAGCCGATGCTCGGAGTGTGCGACCGATTGTGATGAGCGACAGCTGCCTCCAAGCAGCACTTCCATCCACCCTGAAAACCTGGATACATTGAAATGAACTGCTTCAAATCCAGAATGATTCTTTCAGCCATGCCATTTCCTGCAGGATGGTACGAGTGCAGCGTCGCAATACAACTCCTCGTTCCTTCGCCCAATCTTGCAAACGCTATGAGAAATGCTGGCCCATTGTCTGATATTCCTATTTTCATATTCTTGAACATCTCCCAACTCAAAATAGCGATCACACTCTTTGCGTCTTCCCTTCGCGGCCGTGCAGCCACTATTCTTGTGCACTGGTCTATTGCCACTAGGAAAGACTGCATTCTTCTTACTCCTGCAGCCTTCTTCTTGAGCTCTGCGAAATCCAGATGAATGACTGCAAATGGTACGTCGGAATGTTGAGGCAAAACCATCTCGTCTGTTCTCTGAAGGTACTTGGCTTTGTGAACTTGTCAATGATGACAAGACCGAGCATACCTTTGAACGTCCTCTTTCATGTGTTTCCACTGGAAACGCTGACGAATCTTGTGCTATGTCCTCCAAAAGTCATGTCCACCTGAGTGCGGGGAGTCGTGATAGAGCTCCGAAATTCGAGGCACCATTGTTTCTGGGACTGTGAACTTTCCGATATGGAACTTAAGTTCTTCAGTTCCCTCAACAATGTTGCGTTGATATTTTTATGATCAGGAATTACCGCAAGTCTTGAAAGCGCATCTGCGTCCTTGAGGTGTTCTCCAGGCCTGTGGTGGACCATGAAAGTAAACTGCTGGAGTTCACTCACCCACCTAGCAATTTTTCCTCGAGGCTCGGCGAGGTGAAGGATATACGTTAAGGCTTGGTGATCCGTAAAGAGGAATGCGAGACCTCACCTCCCGGACCTAGGAACGCAGCGTCAACCCATGACACCTTGTTCTCGCTGAAGGAGCTCAGAAAGCTTGCTTTTTACTCTATCCATGGTTTGTTGCTGTGAGCGTTGAGACGTCATTCGTACCAACTCTTTGCTATGCCCGATAGGAATAGTCGCATGTTTTTCACTTTATCTTCGTCGCTGTGCCAGTAGTTTTCATTGCATGCATACTCGTAAAACGTGAGCCAGGACTCGGGACTACTAGACTCTCCGTCAAACATGTCTGGCTTCACGTGTTCGCGACTCGGTCTGCTTAATCTTTCCGTCGCGTTTACAAGCAAGCGCATTAAATCATTTTGCTGCCTATTCTGTTCTTGGTGCAGTTCAAGAAACTTGATCAGCTCGACGGAACTGTCAGGCGAAGCAGCAGTAGCAGGCTTCGCGTCGTTTCTTACTGGAGTCAGCACGAAATTCTCATAATCGTGAAGCTTCATGTTGATCCTCACCGTTCTTTTAGCAAGTAAATGGTCTGGAGTGAGCTTCATTTTAGTGCTTATATAGGAAACAAATGCGTCGGTGCTCACTGCGTCCGGAAGAGCTAGTTCCTCTTTATCTTGAGGCGTTGCGGTCAAGATCCGGATGCCACCGCGTTGATTTGCACCAATGGTGAAGTCCACCCACATCTTGAATGTCCGCACAGAAAGTATACGCGGCTGCGCCAATTTGTAATAATACACAGTACTAGGCTGGGGTGTCAGCCATCTTCTTTATTTCTAACCTCTTCTTCCTCGTCTCCCTCCAACCCTGCCTCACGGTCACGTACAACTGATGCAAATGCAGAGCGGCAGTTGTTTTGTAATATGGCATTGAAATGCACCGTCTTTGAAGTTACGAATTTCTATACAGGTCGTCAGCATTTGCGGTGTCAGTTGTGTCTGTTAGGTTCTGGAATATATTAAGCTTCCAAGTGATGCCCCATTTTGCAGATGGAGCCAAGATGTCTCCCTGATGCCAAACAGTTTCACACCCTGCTTTTATTATTTTGAAAGCTTGGTCTGTGTGTTGCAAGAGTGGTCTTGTGCAGCTTGGGTCTGTGTGCTTGAAGAGAAAATTTTTTTTATGTGATAGTGCAAGATAGTTTGTGGCTTCTTACATCTTGGCAAAAGTAATTATAAAGATATGTAATGAGCCCAGCTACAAAAATTTATATTGGTTGAGTTTGACTAAATACCTATTGCTGAATTTTTGTGTGGTAGTGCTGTTATACCCTTGTCACATGGCAAATCTAATGTAATTTACAACAAATGCATTGAGCGGACCTAATGTCATTTTACTTGCGTGCTGCTGTCACACGATGAAAACAAAGGTCATTTTAAAATTATGACCATGACCTTAGCAACTCCCGAGCCGTGGCTTTGGGAGAAATAAAAACCTAAAAAACCTACATGTAACATGTATATTCAAAACTAGTTTTTATGGGTGAAACGGTGCTCCTAGAATATAAACACGGCCGTTTTACACGACTTGCCCCTGCTGCTTCATACACTCGAAAACCAACATGGCTGACGAAATAGCCGGATGATGAGTATACAGTAAACTGAAGCAGGGCGCACAGCTGACTCCCCGGCTGCCGAAATAAAACGGCGACAGCGATTTCACGTAATCACACCATTGGTCAGGACAACACGTGCAATCGGACGATCAGATCCGTGGTACAGGTAATGACAACAAAGCACAAATGAAACATGCAACCACTGTAGTTGAGAATGGCTTTCTTTTGTAAACTTCCACGTGTGTTATCATGTCATAAAACCAGTAATAAGTTTATCTAGTAAATATTGATATTTACACTTTATAAAAGTTGCATATACATAAGTTAACAGCCATCTCTCTAAGGCCGCGTTCACACTGAGCATTCCGGCCGCCGAAAGTGCTCCGAATCCGGTTCGGCGGCGGCGAGATCCGCCGAAAGGGCCCTCTCCGCGCCGATAGCTCTCGGACCGATTTTTGCGGCGTCTGCTGCCGAATCGGTCACCGCTGACCAATAGGAGCGCTAGTCAAGGAATTTTGAAAAATGGCGGCCAAGCCCTACTCACTTGTTATGCCGCAGTGCACGTAACTGAATGTTGAAACCAACGGCAGTTTAACCTACTCTGTGCCTACTTCGCCTCCGTATTTCGTGAAAGAGGTGACCGAGCTTGCTGTTGGCGTGACCGAGCTTGTTGCGGTCTTGCAGAGCAAAACGAACCCACCCACGCCGCTGGCGTCGGTGGTTTTTCTGCTCTTCGTGCATTACAAGACAGCCACTTGCCAGCAACGTAAGCAGTACTGTCTTTTCTTGCTTCTTGCGTACGAGAATCGTTGGAAGTATACACCACCAGATAGCGTAGTAGCGTTTGCGAGCCGCGACAACAACCGGTTGACAGCGCATCCATCCCGCGTTTGCCCCGTAGTAGATGGCATATTCGGCGACGCGGGGCGTGTCCAGTGCGAACGACGCTGCGTTTCGGCGGCAGGGGAATTTCGGTCGCTGTAGAAAGCGGATGTTTCAGTGTGAACTAGGCATAAAAGTCCCTGGCATTGTGACTACTCATTGGTCCAAAATGAAATGCCAATGTGTCTCATGAACTTGTTAGACAGAAAATGTTTTCATCAAATGGCATTAGCTTCCCCATGTGAAATAAACAAAAGACATTGCAAATGAATGGCATTCACTCTAAATGAAATAAATTTGCCATGTGAGTGGGGTATTGATTTTAGCTGCTGTGAACATACTACTTATGTTTTTACACACCCAGCTTTTGTAACAAATGTCTGATCACATTTTTTATTTTGCAGAGATATTACCAAGTTGGCCTCAAATGTATGCCAGAGAAAGCGTGCAATTACATTAATTTTTACCATGATTTGGGCAGTAGTGCACGTGCTGAGTATTGTTATAGAAACTGGAAGAATAATAGTGCCCAAAATAACTTTAATTATATGTACTGCATTTTATATGGTGAATAATGCCTTGCCTATTCTAAATACCACAAATTTTCATGTGTGAAATGGCTGATCATGAGAATTCTCTATTGAGGGACCTTGTTTGTTTTCTTTCTTCTTTTTTCATTAGTACATTTAGCTTAAACAAAGTTAGATGACTCTGAAAGTAGCATTTCTGCCAGCTTGTTAACATTGTGGGTGGTCTGCCCAACTCATTATAGTTACGTGACATGATGATTAGACATACACCTGCCTGTTATGTCTATTGTTGCCTTGTTGAATATGATATTGTAAAGAAAAAAGGAAACAATTGAACAGGCACTCATTTTACACAGAGAATGGATTGAAAATGCACATCATTACCTGCTTGTGGATGCTGTTGGTATAATGTCAGCATGATAGGATGTCTGTATCAAAGATAGCACTTGAACGAGTGCTTGCCAAGGTCACTCCACAGCCGCTTCATCAAAGCGCACATGGCGCAGCCTCTTCATGCTGTAAAAGCACCAGGAAATGCCTAGAACCTTCAGGCATTCTTCACGCACTACTGGTGAGGGATATTGACCAATAATTTTTGGTGTGATAATCAAGGTTTGCCTTTTAAACGGTTAATTTTGATGGCAGCCTCTATGAAATCAAAGTCGCTGAAGTACTGCAACAATGATGCAGGCAGTTTAATATTGCTTGACATGTGTTATTGAGGCTGAGTGCCAGGGTTTATTGCCCATTTGTATTGCTCACTCTTATTTTACAGGTATGCCTTGCTACAGCGACAAGTCAGCAAAGTTCAGTTTTACGCAAGGCTGAGTGTCATGGTCATTAAAGACCACAAGAGGCCTTCAGGAACGTTGTAGTTTACGTGAATATGTATGATTTTTCTGCAGGGGACCTTTTAGGCCAGCCGCTCTAGCCAGTCTCAAAAAGAGCTTTCTGGTATGGTTTCTGTTTGGTTAATTTTTTCCTGGCATGTCAAGAGTGCCAGCACTTCACGATTGTCTTGACGAATGCATTTTAAAGGGACACTGAAGTACACACTCCGTTTCGGATGGTTGAGCGAGCTCTGCGATCCTAGAAACAATGTTTGCCTTCATTTATGTAAATAAGCCAGATTCCCCCCCCTTTTTTTTTTCTGGAAGCCTCAGTGCTGATACATTAGCATGATGTGGTGGATCTCTATGTATTTTCTAATGACTATTTTGGCACAGTAAAAATTCTTGGGCCTTGCTTCATTGAATATTTAGCTTCTCCAATTTGGTTTTCCTGCTGCCTAACTGTATATAGTAACTGTTTAATTTGCAAATCTCTACACTTCTCATTCTTGTGGTCTTCAACTGTCCTTTGATAAGTTGGCTAACAATGCTGAAGCTCGGCCTTTTTTGACTTGCAGTAGTATGTGAATGAAATTCTGAAAAATAAAAGAGTATGTAAGGCTGAAATGCATCTCCACAAATGAGTATGTTTGTAACTGTATAACAGTGCCATGAAATACATAGAACGCACAAAAACAGTAGTAACGTTTGTTGTTTCGTCATGAAAATTCTCCTACCTTAAATGGACACTTCAGAGAAAAAATTGACTTGGCTTAGATTGATAAAACTGCACCCCGAGGACGCCATAAGTTTCGCTGTCGTAAGTTAATTATTAGCGTAGAAAATCAAGGCTGAAGTTTTATTTTGAAGTTTTGCGGTGATATCTCGGTGCGTGAGTAACGAATTTCAAAATGTACATTTCGCATTTTTACGACATTGGCTCGATGTTTTCCGAAACTTCGTATGCTAGGTCTATGGCTCCCGCAGGTGGTGAAGTACTTCGTTTTTATCGAGTAGAAGCTGTGTAGGATACGGCAGACGCCTTTAAAATTTTCTACGTCACGGTGTGTGCGGGAATCTTACGGTGGCGTCTCAACTCGCATTTTTTCCTTCTCGCTAACCAAGTATCGTGTCGCAGCAAGAGGTGCGTTTTCGGTATTGTGAAATCGTATTCTACAAGTACGCGTTTTGGCTTTTTAGTGTCCCTTTGAAGAAGCCCTGCAACACCTTCAATGCGGTAACGTTAAATAGCTCGTTTATCGAGAATTTTGGTTTGGGTGTCTTTTGTTGTGAGCAAAAAACAATCTTGCTCGTGACCAAAAAATCGAGAAAGGTGCAAATATTTTTTTCGGTTCGAATTGAAAATCGAACCCAGGTTGCCTGCATGGCAAGCAGATGTTCTACTACAGAACGACGTCGTTGCTTGAAACTTGTGGGGAAAAAAAAAATGGTGGACCCTTATGCTTCGCCCATAAGAGGTGAATGCGATAGCGATATGTTCGTAGTGCGTTCTTAACTGTTAGTGTATGAAATCTTCGTGAACCTCCTGGGCACCCACTACATGACCTTAGTGGTGCAGTAGCGGGGGTCTCGCTCGCTGGATTCGGTGCCGACTGGTTGTGCCCTCGCGATCTCCGACGTCAGCGTAGCTCTGGCCGACTGGGCTGGCCCTACGTCATCTCCTGACGCCGACCTTTATATATATATAAGTGATTATAACAGAAGAAAAGAAAAGTGCCGACCCGTAACTGTCTCTCCTTACAAGGACACCTCAACAGGTTAGCACAGGAATGGGGTATGGGGAATAAAAGATATAGGGAGGGAAAGATTGGAAAAGAGAAAAAAAAAAGAAAGGCGAGGGTCATTCGTTCTGCTTTCCGCAACGGACTCACCAGCCCCCACGCGCCTTGCACAGCTGACTAGGGAAGCTCCCAAGGGCCGGAGAGGTATCGTCATCGAGAGGAGGACAACGGTTTGATTGGCGCGTCGTACAAAGCGCGTGAAGCACTCGCCGAAGCGCGTAACCTCTGTACGGAAACATTGTGGTCTGTAGCACTCACTAATACGAGTCCAGTGGACATCGATGGGGAGGCACTAATGTTCCTTCAGTTCACAAGCGCTCAAATAGCGCAGAAGTCTTGAGGAAGGTGATGAGGGCAGCTTGCGCGCGCTTCACCAGGCATGCGTGCGCACGGGGAAAAAGAATCACATCAACAGTGCTGGTGCAGAGTCCCAGTTTGCTGTAAGCATCGAAGAGTGATCTGCGCGCGTCCGAATACTCCTCACACTGGAAGATAATGTGATGGAGTGTTTCGGGCTGTGGGCAATGACGGCAGTTTGGGTCTCCACGTCCCGACTGTCTGTGAACCCGTTCCGCCGTGCGGTAGCAGCCGATGCGCAAACGAAGAAGGAGGGCATGCTTCTCTCTCGAAAATCCAGTTTTCGGGAGTGGGCGTGGTGGCTGCCCTGCCGCAACTCGTGGGTCCGGGTGGCGAGCGGTGACGGAGCACCGTGTGCGAAGCCTTGCTACGTCGAATGTGCTCACCGCTGTAGTCACAGAAGTTCCCAGAGAGTGTGCTTCTTTGGCCAGCTCGTTGGCCACTTCATTGCCGGATATTCCAATGTGCGCCGATATCCATTGCAGCATAAGATCACACTCTAGGTCCTGCACTGCTTCGAGCTTTCGCGCGATGCGCGTGGCAACCGGAGGTCTGCGGGCGTCCTGCGCGAGCAGTTGGAGAGCAGCACGTGAGTGCGAGAGAACGGCAGCCGACGGAACTCTCAGTTGAATGAGGGCATCGGCGGCGAGGTCAAGCGCGGCGAGTTCGGCTATCGTCGACGATGCCTCGCAGGCGAGGTGGCACTGATTGTGAAGCTCCAGCGAAGGCACCACACACGCAGCCGCGGCACACCCGTCGTTCAACACTGAGCCGTCAGTAAAGACGAGGAGTCGTCCCGCGAGAAGTTCGTCAAAAGTGGCAGCAGTTTCGTGCCGAAGCGCACACACTGGCGTCGTCCGCTTGCTTGCCACTCCCGGTAACCGTGTCGGAATCTTGAGAGGGCGATGGTGGCAGGGTGGGGCACTATATAGTCATTCACATCCGGTGAGCTCCGACGACAGCGTAGCTCTGACCTACTGGACTTGCCCTACGCCATCTCCTGACGCCGACAAGAGCTCTCGCAAGTGGTGCCCAGTCCTCGGACTCCTGTGACCGTGTTTCCATCTTTCCTATTTCTCCTATCCCCTCGATATGTCCTCGCTCGCTGGCTTAGCGCATCTTTCTCTCTCTATATACCTTTAATCCTGTTCTTTTAATCCCTCCTCACCCCCATCCCCTGTGAGCTACTGTTGAGGTGTCACACCGTGATGCAGACAGTTACGGGGCTCACTTTTCTCTTCCTTTCTCTCTTAGAACCACTTTGTGTGCAGTAGCGTGTTTGCCTGTTGTGTGTTTAAACTATGAAGTCATTATCATAATCCCATGTTCTAAAGCCCAATGGAGATGTACGCTTGTACCTTGCTTTATTACGGATTTTATGTTGTATTGTGAATCATGTGTACAGCCGCGGCCACGTCTGTGTAGAGCGCTCGAGCAGCCAGTTTTTGCTCTGTGGGCCGAAACCTTGAGGCAGTTTCGGGCTCTGAAGTGGTGTATCAGGAGCTGCACGGCCGATAGTTGTCAGGCTGACCACGTCAGAGCCTGATACTTTCGCCCCGCAGAGCAAAAACCGGCTGCTCGCGTACTCCACACGGACGTGGCCGCGGCTGTACATGCTTCACAAATAAAGCGTCACATACGTACAGGACGCGTGTGTTTGTAAAGCATGAAAGTTCCTTTCACTGCATTTCCAATAAGTGGAAGTTATTTTCACTGCTTTCATAAGCAGAGGCGCGGCTGTGCGGCAGAGCACCCGCTGGCCGCGCAAACGCTCAAGGTTCGATCCCCACTCAGACCCAGAATTCATTTTATTTGCAGGGGTGCAACAGCTGCGCTGAAATGCCCAGCCTGCCTCAAAATATTCTCATGTGCGCTAACTTCGGCGAGAAACGCAGGCCACTTCGGCCGCCTGCAGTTTGCACCATCCGTATATTTCTAGACACCGTACTATCCGTCAAAGCGCGCAGACCACAACTATAGTGCATACAATGTACAATGTATGACGGAACTTCAAGACAAAAATGCATTGCTGTAGCCACCAACGCTTCGCGGGAAATGTCAATTTCCTAGTCTGAAAACGCGGTTATGGCTTGTTAAATTAGGAACTAAAGCTGGAAGCGTGTCATATATGTCGAGTTTTCCTCGCGCGAACAAGCTCGACGTGCTGCGAACGCCGGTGCTGCCAGCGACCACGTCGATAGTCTTAGCAGTGGCACGGAAGACTTTTTATTGGTTTGTTTTGTTTTGAAGTTGCGTCGTCCCGGCCACGGTCCTGGCGATAGATATCCGGTACCGTCGCCCGCCCGACGGGCGTGCGCCGTTGTTACTTTACATGGTCGAACGTGCTTCGCGAGCCGAAATGGCACCTGACCCCCCGATGAAAGAAAAAAAAAAGTGGGAAGTAGGGGGAGGTGTAGCGTTTAGAAAATTTCTTAGCTTTGGTTCTAAGAGAATGCTGTTTAAGGCGCCTTCGCCCCTCTAGACTGGTCGCAGCGGAAAAGCGTATTGAAATTTGGAAGGGGATGTTAGCGTTATTCACGAGACACTGCACATTTTGCTAGGTTACTCATGCGTTTGTACGCCGCATAATTCTGAGTACCAGTATAACTGAAGTCCAAATAAGGTACTTGCAGTCATATGGAGCAGAGTATGACATGTCTGTATCCCTTAAAAAAAAATCGTGCGCTAGTTTTTTTTTTTTTCGCCACCCCTACTCCTAGGTTCTACTCATCTCCCAAATTTCATGGTCGTGATCTTGACCGATCCATATTTAAATTCGCAGTGTCAAATGATTTGGAAGTCGCAGCAAATGATAATATGGAGAGAGAGAGAGAGAGAACAAACATTTATTAATAACAAATGCACACTGAGCCTTCTTTGGGTGGGGCCCTCAGTCCAGGGCTCCATTGCCCCTGCGTGACCCTGCGAGCCCGCTGGACCAGCTGCTGCTGTTCCTGCCGGCGTAAGCTGAGCAGTGCAGACTCCCAAGAGGAAGGGGTGGGATTGGGAATGGGAGGCACGCCCTGTGGGGCAGAGCATTCCCACGTGGAGTGGTACACCGTAGGTACGGATCCACAGAAGGGGCAGTAGGAGGGGTAGAGAGTCGGATGAAAGCGATTTAGCATATAAAGGCAAGGAAATGAATTGGTCTGTAGTTGCCGCCAAGCGACAGCATCTGCTCTGTTAAATGAAGGATGAGGGGAGGATATGTATAACGGCTCTGATGATATGGACTTAATCACTGTTTGATGAGTGTGGTGGTTCAAAATACTACTTCAATTGAAATAGCAGTACTCATGTTCACACTGCACTATTTAGGCGATGTTAATCGGTTTATACCTTTTTTTTTTCAAAATGTAAGCCTTCTTATTTATACTGCTCCAAATTTGGTATTTCATGATGAAAAAAATGTATGATTTCTTCCCCGTAACCTGTTCCAGATTGCGATTTTATTGCTCCAAAAATTGCTCCGAATTGTATTTTGGCTGTTGCACCGCTGTATTTGCATCTTTCTCGATTTTTTGGTCACAACCGCCGACGCCGGAATTTCTGCGAAACGAGCTCTTAGACGCTATCGCGTTAAAAAAAATTGCCACCGTATCTGCATGTAGTCTGCAAATGTCGTCGAAAGACGATGGTCTTGCGTGTGAAGAGAGTGAACATAACATTTATTTGATGTTCTGCGCAAGAAAATCGGTGAATGGTATTCCGGAGGTGCTGCGTTAGTGTGACTAGAGCTTGCAGTGGAGGCGAACGAGCACTTCAAGTCACGTCACACGTGAGACATGAGCGCCATCTGGCAGTTTCTTTTGGAAAACAAAGCGCGTGGCCGTGCGCGCCCGTCTCAGAGGTGATAAGCTGTAGAACGCGAGGCGACGGGTAGGAGCCACCACCAGCTCGTATTAGCAAAGCGTTGGAAACACTCCCCGTTCCGTGCAATCGTTGCATGGTAAGCGCAGTGTGATAAGCGCCATGATCCTTAAAATTACTTATGTATGCGTTTTCTAGTAAGAGATGCATATGCAGAATATATGCGTGTTGTTATGGTGCCCCAGACATGCACAATAATTGTTTTTTAGTTGACAATTGCACAAGCATGAACGCTCAACCTTGAGCAACATTGGCGGTCGCTGCGGATGGGGTCGGCCATTTCAAGTGCCCGATGCCGGTAAGAGTGGACAAACAGACAAATGTACAGACAGGCAGACTAAAATTTTTGCGTCGAAGGTCCCCAAGAAAGACTATCGTCTTTAAAAAAACTGGTACATGAATGTCATGTAGTGGAAGAAAGAGCCTGCTTAGCACAGGGTTCTCAAAATCATTCCAGCCAACGGGCCGCACTGACGCAATTTAACCTCTCAGGGGCCGGAACAAGACAAGGGGGGCAGTTCTTACAAATTGTCGGGAACGTTGCCATTTGAAAAAAAAAAAATCAGTTTTGCCGCAAGGGCGAAGCAATGAACGTGACAGCAACAACTTGAAATGTCCCGCTGAGAACGGCAAGCGGATCGAAACGTGCGCCATTTGAGCGCGCTTCTCAAATGGCGCACGAAAACAACACACATAGGACGAGAGCGAGCTAACAACGTTTACCGTTCGATACGTAACGCGCTGCTTAAACAAAAAATTCACAGCATATCCACGGGGTGAATGATGAGTGGGCGAAGCACCTGAGGGGAAATCATCGGTAAAACCGTGACTGTTCAGTCAAAGTTCGCCTACTACATCAAGAAAGACGTGAGAAACACTGTGTGTGTATATGTATAGCAGGGTCCTCGCGCAGTTGCCGTGACGCTTGGGCCTCTCGTTCTCGAACGCTGGGATCTTGGCGGCGGCGTCGCGCAGCCAGACGACACGCTTCGGCCTCCCGCTCTCGTACGGCAGGATCTTGGCGGCGGCGTCGCGCAGCTTCACGGAGCGCCTCGTGGTCTCGCACATCGGGATTCTATCTGCGAGCACACGCTGCCGCCGCTCTGCGGCCTTATCCATCGGGCAACTACCAGCGCGCGCCAACAGCGGACAGATTCTATTACAACGCTGCCCGCCATCTAGTAAAGAATCGAAGAACTAAGCTAGAGGTAGCCACGTCATCTAGTTAACAATGCAAGAACTAAACTAGAGGTGGCTTCATACATACGCCGAGAATGGACAGATCCACGCTTTAAGGAGCTTCGCCCCTAAAAATGATGCACGAAACGTAATCAAATGTACAGATGAGTGCAAACTAACAAGCGTCCCAGTTGTTGTACCTCGCGCGCTCTTTCCGGAAACGGTGCCTGTGCAGAGACCGAAGTGACCTTTGTGGGCCCGGCAACTAGCGCAATCGTTCCAGTGAAAGCCGAAGGCACATGATTCTCCCCGCCAAAGCATATGAGCGCGCGCACAAGCATCTGACCCCCCTTAAATACTCCCCCATCTGCAGGGCAAAGTACGCGTGATAAGCGCGCGTCGGCGCATGGCGACGAGCTGGGTGCCGAGCGTGGGCGGCTTTTTTTTTTCCTTCTTGAGTGTTCATATTGTTACGGAAAAGAAGAGACGCCGTATCGACGAGGCTGTGGAATAGATGTATTTTAAACCAGTGGTAATGGCGTGACCAATTCTCCAGCGAGCGAGCGGAGACCACACTTCTTCGTCGTCAGGCACACACGCGCGTCGCCCCCTAGAATCTCAGTATGCATGCATGTAGCATAATCCCTGGCGGCAGAAACGCCGTCTCGGCGCATCTAAATGTCAAAGTCACTAGGAGAGTGGTAGGGCTTCAAGCGCGCAACATGTACAATATCGATAGCCTGTTGGGCACATGAAGGCGACGGGGCAACAGGACCTATTTCATATGTCACAGGAGTAACGATACGAAGGACTCGGTATGGACCTGTGTAGGGAGTAAGCTGTT